CTCCCTCTGCAGTGTAGACCTCAGCAGGTCACAGGGGAGACCCAGAGCTCCCAGGTGTGAGGACCTCCCTCTGCAGTGTAGACCTCAGCAGGTCACAGGGGAGACCCAGAGCTCCCAGGTGTGAGGACCTCCCTCTGCAGCAGGAGTGCTCCCTGGGGAGGGCCTTGGTGCTCTTTCCACTCTGCACTCCTCCTCCTTACCTGGCCTCATGGGGCTCAAACACCCAGAGGGGCAGACCCACCGCGCAGCCGGTGGGCTTCTCACCTGCGAGACCGTGATGCCACACTTCTTGGCTAACTCCTCTTTTGCTTCCTCACTGGGGTAAGGGTTGCTGAGGTGGGAATAGAAGTACTCATTCAGGATCTCCGTGGCTTGCTTGTTGAAATTCCGTCTCTTCCGCCTTTGTAAAGAGAAAGGAAAGGTAAGAACAATAAAACCTTTACCCCATATAAGCACAAGAAGGGAGAGAATAGGACCGACTTCTGGGGAAAGGCACATTATTGAGCAAAAGGAGAATTAGACTGGCCGGGGACTGGATGCCAGAACCCCTGGAAGTGTGCACCCCTTCACCGGGTCTAAAGGAAGGGATGCAGACACTTTTGCACAGAGCTGCGAGGAGCAGGAAGTCTCAGAGGTGGGGCCCTCTTGGTGTGGAACCCCAGGCTGGTGATTCGGGTTGCCTCTCTGGGCCTTTGCTTCACTGACAACTGTGAAGAGAGCCGTCCTGAGCCCCCAGGTGAGCACAGGAGGAGCCAGATGAGTGCCCGGCAGAGTGCCCAGCAGGCTGAAGCTGGCCCTGGGTGGCCCCAGGTCTCTCTGCTTGGCTGGCTATCAGCCCTGGAATTCTCTTTTTTCAGCTAGTGAGGTGGACCGGCTCCTCCTAGGCACAGATGAAAGACTGCTTGCAAGGTCTCGGCTGGCCTGCCGTGGGGCCCGGGTTCATTCAGGTCTGCCCGCCTATGGAACAAACGCAGCCTCTTCCTTCTAGCAAACTGCCTCCTAACGATTAGGCAGACCCTGCAGCCACAGTTAAAGATAAGTTATCGCTTTCTGTCCACTCTATCCCCGTGCAAATGCATGCAGCATTTAAAAGGCACCTGGGGAAGAGGGCAGGGGACAGACTGAAATCACCCCTGACTGCTCGGCTTCCCTCAAAAGGAGAGAAGTGGCCCTTCTGAGCAAGAACAGCTGCTAAGTGGTAAAACAAAGCCCACTAAACCTTTCTCACACACAGGTTGCCAAAAGGAAGGAGGCCACTTCTGAATGAAAGCATTTTTCTGCCTTTTCACAAAAAGTGCTAATTGAACTAATTTGAAGTGAGAATCCCTGTACTTCCACCCAGCCAAGGCCTGCAGCTGGCTGGGAGCTGCTTAGGGAGGCTGCGCTCCTTGCAGACCTGCGTGGCCTCCTTGACGTGGTGGGCCCTTCATCTTTAAATTAGCTCTATTAGCACTTTAGTCTTTCTGGCTTTTATCAAAAGCTTTTCCTTAAGGAATAGATTTCCGGAACCTCCTGGTTATGTCCGGATACAGAATTTCCCAATTTAGCCAACAGAAAGCACTGATGGCCTTGCTAGACAGGAAATTCAGCTAATATTGTGTTTCCAGGGTCCCACTTGGATTAATTAACACAATAAAGTGCCTGATTTTACCGGATGAACACCATCTGTCCACAGGTATTAACCACATCTGTCCAGATTATGCCAAGCCCAAGTCACTCTCCCAAATCATGCTGAGTTTCCGGGTCACCCAGCATCAGAAATTGGACAGATTGGATTAAAAAGCCCAAGTAAGAAGAGGCATGTGATAAAAGCTCCTGCAGGCCGGACTCTGAGGAAGGCAGCCGCGTGGCTCCGGCTCCAGCTGCTCCTGAGACACCCCCTGGCTGCTGCTCTGCTGAAGGCAGGGGTCCTAGGCCTGGGGAACGGGCCGAAGTCCCCTGCCTGGGAGAGCCTCGGGCCTCCCTCCCTGTCTGCATGAGCATGATGGGACTCTTCCAACTGCGCTCCAGGAAGCCTCTGGAATGGCGGTGCTGTGGGTGGAGTGGACAGCTGGAGAGGGGCCGTCTCACAAGAGGGCCCCCGCCCCTGGACGCGCTTACCACCTGTATGGAAGCTGTCTCTTTCAAGGCCCTTGAGGGACCCAGGATCAGGACATTTCAGAGTTTCGGGAGACAGTGAGAACAACCCTTTCTGAAGGTAAGAGGGTGGCACCTGGTTTCCTTGTGGTGGCTGGAGGCCTGAGCAGCACAGTCAGTGGACACCCATGACTTCAAACCCATTGGACGCTCTGACAGTTGAGGATCTTGGTTTTTAACTTAAGAAACATGGATGCTGAACAATGTTGCTGGACAACACAGTGTTCCAGGGACGGGAACCTTTCGAATCACAGGGCCCCGGTAGACATTTTTCGTACGACTGGCGGTGGTGAGACACAAGGGGTCGCAGACCATAAGTGTATCTCAGGCAGCCATCACCATGTCCACTGCATATCCAGGCACCTCCCAACAGTTTCCAAAACTAAGTCCACCTTCCACCAAGCCGGATCTGTTGTCCTTCACCCAAATTACTGGGTGGCCCCTCCGACTCCACTTCCGTGGTTGCTCATTCATTCATTCACTCAACTCTTTCAGTCCCAGCTGGTGCCAATCCTGGGTGTGACTAAGCTCTGCTGCTTCCTGGGCCTCATGAACGGCTGTCCCCAAAGCCAGTCCTGCCAGCTCTGTCCTTTCGCATCTGTCCATTTTGCTCCAGCCCTGGGGGCATTGCTATCTTGGTGGCGGGCTGTCCAGCAGTGCTTTTTCCATGTCTGTGCTGTCCGATGCAGTGACCATCAGCCTCGAATCTGCTTTGCAGCTGAAACACGGCTGGTGCAGCTGAGGACTAGTTTTTAGAATGTTGTTATTATCTGATATTTTAATTAATTCACACTAGTAGTCATGTAACAGACAGACAGTGCAGCTGCAGACAGACGGCTTCAGAGACAGCGCCAAGCAGCACTCTGGAGACAGAACTCTGCAGACCACAGAGGTCTGTGGTAGCCTACTTGCATCCCTGTGCAGGGTGGCAGGAAGGTCTCAGGTAAGAACACTCCCCTGAACATCTGCACAGATGCAAAGGTGCTTCAGACTTGCATCTGCCCTAGCGGGCACCCCGGCCTCAACAGCGGCTCCCCCAGAGCCTCGGCCAGTTCCGCGGTCTTCAGGAGAATCCCTGGAGGAAGCTTCCTGAGCCAGGATCCATTCAGGCCGCTAATGACTGACCGGCACAATGAGGCGGCAGGCGCCCGTGGAAAGCACGTGGCCCGTCATTCCTGCAGCAGAGGGCGGTGCGCAGACCGTGATCTGGACTCTCTGCGGTTTGCTTTCCATAGTATCCTATTTGTTCCCGCTTACAGAATTGGCCCATTGATACAGAAATAAAGGTGAGTTGTTGGGAAGATAAGTCACTCATCCAAGGTCATGGGGTCTTCAGGTTGTAGCCGAAATTCCAATTCCGTGCAATCACAGAACTCTCGAAGTGTCCCCGTGCCCCCATCCTCACCGGCACTGAGGGTTCCGCAGGTCAGGAGGCAGATTCGGAGCCCAAGTTCCTGGCGACTCTGTCCTGTCCTTCGGGCCTCACCCCCCTCTGCAGAACTTTGCAGCCTGAACACAGCCTTCTGTGTGACCAGCGCCTTGGAGGCTCTCGGCACCTTGCTTCTTCTGTGCACCTCTCTCCACTGTAAGTGCCACAGGTTAGCTACGCCTCCCACAGGCAGCGCCTTCCAGGGTAGGAACCACATCTCAGAGGAGCTTGCTGCAGAGCAAGTGCCGGGGGCGGGGGAGGGGCGGGGCTTGCTGTGGTTGAACTATATCACTCTACCTGCCATGTCCCATCCTCTTGAGTGTGGTTTGTCCCAAGAGGTCATGGGCTCTGTGAAAGCAGGGCCCACGTTCACATGTATTTTTATCCTCTTTGTCATTCCAGTGGTTGACACCGGCTCCCACCAGTGATGAGCCCAGTCAGGGACAGTCCGACAGACCTCGCTGGCTGCCTTCCTGTCCTGCGTCCTCTCCTTAGGTCACTCCCTTCAAGAGCAGCGGTGAGTGTCTGTGTTAGTGTCGCTATCTCCCACAACATGTTACAGAAAGATCGTTCCCACTTTTGCTGAAAAACCTTAGGGGGTTAGTAAGTTCTGCTCATTCTCTTTAAGGAAAGCGTTTTTCCTGTCTTGAGCAATGCCTGGTTGTATGGCACAGTGCTGTCCACAGCATGAGAGGACAGATGCCGAATGTGGAGGGAGTGCGGGGTGCTCTTCCAAGGCCAGCTCTACTGGCAGTCTGGTCAACATAGGCAAGAGAGAAAGGATGCAGCCCATGCAGGACAGGCCCAGCCCAGGCCCCTGCTGAGAAGCACAGTGACAGGAACCCAGGGCCTGACCCTGGCGTGCTGGTCTTCCCTGGCGAGAGGCTGGGATGGGAACCCGATGGGATATGGCCCTTGGACCAGGTGACCAGTCAGCTGAACGTGGAGTCAATGCGAAGGGAGAGTGGGTTAAGCCTTAATGTGGAGTTTCTCCTGCCAGCCGTCAGGAGGGCCACTGTGACCTGCATATGGAGGTGAGGCGTCTGGGAACGCAGCTCTCGGCTCCTCCACCGCAAGGATCTGCCAACAGCTAGAAGAGCACAGGAGGGGCCCTGAGGGCAGACAGGCCTCTGCCTGAGCAGACCACACCTCCCTCTCATCCTGCAGGACCAGAGCAGAGGACCCTGCAGAGCCCGGCCCAGACCCACCAGCAGAAACTGGTTGTTGTAAGCGGTTAAATCTGTGCTAATCTGCTGCACAGCATTAGAAAGCTAATACAAGGCGTGTCCCAAACAAAGTTTCAGCAGCGGCCTCCACATACCTACTGGTCAGGACACTAATCCTGTTATGAAGGCAAGCCCTCTTTGTGTTTTATTTGTCTTCCATGAAATCTTTTTTGGATGAGGCCCTGCCCATCAGACCCCTGTGGAGTAGCAGGTCCCTGGCAGAGAGTGCTATAGTGGCTCTAAGTAAGGTCTGCTTCCTCTCCCTCCCTATCATGGTGAGCGGTCCTGGAGGAGGGGCTGTTGACTTCCCCGTCAGCAAGTCGGGGCAAATATTTACTTCTGGGCTGGGAAAGGCATTTGCCCAATGTGGCTGGCATGTGGGCGATGCTCTTCCAATAATGAGCACATCCACAGTGTAAGATGATCCCAACAGGACAATGGGTCAGTGTTTCGGTTTCCAATCTTGGCTCAGACACAATGATTCAAAGGTCACAGCCCCAGAGAGAAAGAGACCCTGTCTTAAAGCAACTGTCCTCTGGTGCTGAGGGACAATCCAGGCAGGGGCTGTGGAGGTGGAGCCCTGTGCACAAGTCAGCCTTGCCTGGCCTCTCCTGGAGTCTGACCTTCAGCTGGGCACAGGGGAATCACTGCAGGAAGAAACCCAGGGAGACAATGCATCTGCTCCGTCCTTTTCTCCCATCTCTTTCTTGAAAAGAACCCAGTCTGGGCCCGACTTTTCTTTCTTCAATCTCTGCCAACATAAATGCCAACTCCGCATTTTAACTAGGGAGTTACCATGGGGATGTGAGCGGCACAGGCAGCGAGTCGGCTATGGCACAGGAAGGGCCCAGACAGGCCGCCATCCCCGCCCTGCACACAGACGCAGCCAGGCTGGCGCGGGCCGTGGGACGCCCAGAGGGTCCCGTGCCAGCTGACCGCCCACTCCCACTGCCTCGCTGGACCCAGCTGGAAGTGCTGTCTTCGTCTTCCCTTGATCCTGAGGCGGGGTCTGCTAGCTGGTATCCACACCGAGTACTCCATGCAGCCAGGTCACGGAGGAGGGAGTGGGAGGAAAGGCCCGGAGCCCTGCGGGGCCCATGGCCCGAGGAACAGAACTGTGACGAGAAACACAGTAGAGCTCTGTGGCTTCAAGGTGGAGGTCCAGGAGCAGCAGGGAATCTTTCTGTCTGACTGAAAAGGGGGTCCTATGGCAGGACTAACAGGCACACCTGACCCCCCGTGAGAAGCACTACCCATGGGGGCACCCTCGGGACCTGGGGAGCTGGACGGCGGCATCCGTGTTCAAGATGAACTGCAGACCACGCATGTGCCAGGCCAATTGTCAGGATATCCTTCCAGAGCAGATGAGAAATGGTAATCACCATCTTGCAAACCAGATGCCAAGAGTGGGCAGAATCCAAGGAATTGGGAAAGTCCTGGCTCCAGCGCAGGAGGGCCAGGGCTGGGTGGCCTGTCCTTGGTCCTTTGTTTGGTTCTTGAGCACCTGAAAGGACCTTCATGGCGTGTTCTCAGTGGGGTGCATGGGGCTCATAACGTCACAGTGAGCAGATGCTGTCTACCAGCTGGGCCCACAGCAGGAGGCCTCCTTCCTCTCTATGCCTGAGGGACCAGACCTCCCTGTCCCTGAACTCCCGAGACAGCCCGGAGTACGGGCACATGCTAATCAACTAACAAATACTGCCGAACTGAACTCAGCTGCTCTCCGCCTGTGTGGGAGGAGGAGACCGCGCCTCGCAACAGGCCAACCTGGCGCTCTTAGAGCAGGGTGCACTAGGGCATGCTGACGGCACCTTGCTGGTCAGCTGACCAGGGGCCCCAGGTGAGACGCACGTGAGACAGGTGCTCAGTGCTGGGAGAACCCCCGCCCCCAACCAGAGCTGTCATCCTTGGGGCTCACCAGAGGGAGTAGCCGGGGGAGGAAACCGTCCCTCCAAACCTGCAGCTTCCCAGCACCGCCCCCTCTGCCTGCCTGAGACCAGCGGCCCACCCTTCTCCCAGCCTGCCATACAAGACCTGGCAGCCACGGCCTGGCTCAGCAGTAATGTGGTACAGCCAGAGCCTTTCAAGAGCGCCAACCAGAGCCCCCCCTCTTCAGTGGCTCAGGAGGCCAGCATAGCCCCAGGACACTCACCGCGCATCTAGAAACCGGGAACGCAGGATCATGACGGCCTCGCACGTGCTCTGCTTGAGCTGCATCTGGATGGAGCTGAACTTGCGGTGGATGATGCTGACCATCCGCTCGATCTCCTTTGGGGAAATGGGCCTGGTCCGGCTCTGCTCTCGGAGGAGGTTCATCACGTGGGTGGTGAACTCATTGCAGGCCTGAAATGGAGAGCACAGATGGTCCTGAGGGCCCAGGCAGGCCCGCGCGGCGGAGCTGGGCCACTCTGCTACGGACCTGTGCAAGTGGCATCTTGTCAAGTAGATGGTGGGATAAACGACTGCCTGGAATTCCTTTTAGCTCGGTGGCCCCGAGTTTTGGCCATGATTTCAATTATTTAAGGGAAAAGGAAATCCTTAATTGATTTTTTCCTGGACTTTGCTACAGTGAAAGGTGAGAACGTAAATGCTGGTATAAAACTCGCTGCGCCACCCTTGGCCCCAGTGTCAGCCACAGTGAGAGCTGGGGTCAAAGGTATCGGGAGCTCTCTGCCTTGTTCATTATCTGTGATGTGCTATCGCTTCCAAATATTCAATTTTGGGATGCATAAATAACCCAGAGAGTTCAAGAGGAAACACGGAATTAAAAGCTTCAGACTCTGGGAGATTTCCCGTCAGCCATTCCCAGTTTTACTCCAACCCCCACACTCTCAGCCTCCTCCTGAGGATCCACACTCCATAACACAGAGGGAGTCTGACCCCAGGGACTTCATAAAAATGACATCGCAACAAAGGTTGGAGGACCCAGGATCCTCTCAGGTTATAGAACAAAATGCCACCAGCCCGGAAGTAAGACTGGAAATCAAATTTCTCTACCTCCTTACTTTACAATTGGAAAACTGTGGCCCAGAGAGACAAAGGGACTTTTCCAAAGGCCCACAATAAGGAAAGCGAGGCAGAAGCAGGGCCCAAATGCCTCATGTCACGGGCCAGAGGCTCAGAGCCCCACTTGTCCCTCTGTAGACCAGGGCCCTTCGCTGGCATCCACAGTTTGGTTTCTTTAGCTGAACAGTTAATAAAGCATGTCTTCACAGGTTAATTCAGTGACGCTGGGACACCGTATTAGATCTGTAATGAGAAAGCTCAAGAGACCTGAACTCAAAGGCCCAAGTCAGCATTAACAGCAAAGCACCCTTAAGGTCGGCAGCGCTGCGCTGCGCTTGCTGCTGCTGCCCAAAGGCCTTCGCATGCGCCAGCGGTGCAATGAGGACGTAGTGGTGCACGTTCTGTTCACCTCAGGAAGACGCCCAGCTTGACTGGCCAGGCAGCTGCAGACGCACCCACTGGGCTGGGTCTGCACTGGAGAGCAGCAGCCTGTTGGGCCCGGCCTCTGGGAGCACTTGAGGAATCGTTGCGCTGTGCAGGCCTCTGCATGCCCGCGAGCCTGGCTCTGCCCACTCCTGATCCTTTGGCATGTCCAGTTGTGCCGCGCTCCACCTGCAGCTGGAGCAAATCGCTCACCTGGCCTAGGAGGGGCTGTGAGAGCGCAGGCTGCCTGTTCCCTGCCCTGACGCTCAGGTGGGGTGGGATCACAGAGGGGTCCTCAACCTCTCTGTGTGTCTTCCTCCTTCCTGGTGAAATGGATGACAGCCTTGAAGGGTGTGGCACATTAAATGCGTCTCTCTCTGTGTGCCTGGCCCCACAAAGTCCTGGCACAACTATGGCTTCAAAACAGAGTCCTTGGAAACCCGTCTACCACTGTGGCCGCCTCCAGCCTCCCTCCGGGGGAAATCAGAGTGTGATGAACACCAGCCTCCCTTCCATGTTCCGGCTGGGACCCATGCAGAACTGAGGAAAGCGTGATACAAACACGAGACCTGTCCTAGCAGCTGTCCCCAGCGAACCTCGGGCCCAGAACTGAGAGAAATTACACATGGCTGCCAGTGAGCCTCACCCCTGAGGCCAAGCAGAGTGAGGGAGGCACAGGCTGGACCCCAACCATCCTGCTGGAGGAGCAGCCGTCCATGGGCTGAGGCCCCCAGCCGGCTCCACAGACTGCAAGGGAGGAGGGGTGGGGGCACTGTCAGGTGTCCCAGCTCTCAGCTGGGGACACAGTGCTGGCTGGCCCATCTGTGCGTCACTGGGGTCAGTTAGGTGCCTCCCCAGGCCTTCCTGCTCTGCAGTGAGCAGGCCATGGAGACTGGGCACACTGCAGGGGACAAGGCAGCTGCTGAAGAGCCGCCCAGGAGTGACAGAGGCCCCGGAGAGGTGGCCCAGCTGCAGGGCCCGATGCCCACAGCCCTGCCTGGGGTCCCCACAGTGGGCTGCTTCCGGGAGGCCAGGTGGTCTCAACTCCACGGGGTGCCAGCATCCGGGCTACAAGCAGCAAGTTAGTAGAGCCCTCCCAGACCCAGGGTTTCCACGGCGGACTCGGGAGGAAGGACACTGGAGCTGTAGGCGCCCGCCCCCCACCCTCCCAGGGCACGGGAGGTTCTAAAAGGCTCCGGGTTCTAGCACAAGGGAGGTCTGGGAAGAGCAACCAGAGAAGACGGCCTCTCAGGGAGACCTGCAGCAGAGGTCCACTTGAATCCTGCTCTCCAGCCTCCAGGCCTCCCGCCTCTCCCTCCACTCCTTCCACTGTCCCAACAAAAACCAAGCGGGATCTTGGGGGCTGCTTAGCCGCGCACCAAGTAGACCCAGTGCAGCTCAGCATCGAGATGGAGCTCGCCAGCGGCAGTGTTTGCAAAACCTGGAGGATCCTGCAAAGCTGCCGGAGGGTCATTTTCACACACAGCCCTGGGAATACATTCAGGCTCCCGGCTCCGAGGTTCTGCTACCCCAACAGGCCACCAACAGCACCTGCTGAAAGTGCCCTCCTCCAGCCCCACTCCACAGACAGAACACTTCTTCCACTCCACCGAAAGCCTCCAGAAACTTCTGTACTTAACAGCCTCTGGCTCCGAGGAGGGCTGTGACAGCCGACTTTCCCCAAACAAAATGAAATCCAGGCGTCAGCTGGTAAACCACAGACCTGGTAACTCCGTTCAGGAGCCAGTAGGCCACAGGGTGATGTTCTACTGGACCAGGGTGCCCTGCTTTGACAAAGGCCCATGAGGAGTTGTTTCAGAAGACACATCTCAGACACACCAGATTCTCCATAACCTGCTACTTCCTATCATTAACAACACAGCTAATTTTAATAAATTATTAAGCAGAAAGTGCCCCTGCAAAGAAGGAAAGGTTGCTTCGGTACTTTCTAAAATAGTAAATACCAACAACTACCATGACATGCCCACAGTTTGCTCGGTGTCTAGGGGCTCTTCTGATGTTTCTGACTTCTAACATCTTTATTATTTAGAATAGGTCAGTGCCGGGGAAAAGTTCCTCCAGAGAACGTCTCTGTACCCGCCTGCCTTGGGTGCCAGCATCTAGCCCAGGAAATCACAGAGGGGACAAGACATCACACTGTTCTAGGTGCAGCCAGGTATCCCAGAGGGTGCCCTGGTCAAGGGTCAGCACCAGAGCTCAGGGCGCTCTGGCTGGACATGGGACCAGGCACTTTCTGACCTCTGACCTCCCCTTCCTACCCTACATGGAAATGTGATGGCACCTCCTGTCCAGGTCCCCAACCCCAGAACTGCCTGGAGGAGCCAGGGCAGCCAAGTCAGCCCCAGGGCAGCCACTGGGATTGGTGGTTGGGACACGCTCCTGCTCACTCACAGGAGAATGGAGTGACAAAGGGGCTCGTGGGGAGAAGAGTCTGTCTCCTGAGCGGCCGGCATCCTGAGCTAGACACAGCCAGCTCCCAGCCCCTTCCAACCCGACACGCTCCCATCCCCAGAGTGAGGACCCACTGGCTCTTGCAGCGCCCCCCTTGATTGGCAGGAGTGTCCAGAGAGGCCAGGCCAGAGGCCACGTGTCCTGGTGCAGGTGTAGAAGAGTCCTGAGGAAGGAGAACCGAGGCCAGAGAGTCTCCACGGGAGTGTCCCCCGTCACCTAACCTAAGGTGCCCAGTAGGTAGGGCAGCCCCAGCTTCCAGCAGGCGCAGGTGGAAACTGGGTGAGCAGAGAAGCTCTGAATGCTGGGATCCGGGGATGTCTGCCGAGGTCCTGGGGGTGGCGCTCCGGGGCCTTGGCTGGCCTACTCCCATCCCTCCTTCGCCCTCCGCCCGGGAGGCCTGCATTGACCCTGGTGGCTTTGGGCTTCACGGCAATCTCTCCACCCAGCAGGGGGACTTTGTAGAAGTCTATTTCAAGGTGGGACAGGAGTATTATAATGAAACTTTCTTCATTTTAAATTTTAAAATGCCTATTTCTATTTTAAAATTTAAATTTTCTATTAAGTTTCATTTGCCTCCCACCTAGACAGTCCTGTGTGGGCTGCAGGGGGTTTTCTACCTTTGGCTCTTCCTCCCTTTTCTTTTTTGATCCATAAAAATTAAGGAACAGAACATCTAATATTTGGTGGGAGGAAGTTCACGTAGAACTTCAGCACCATGTGTGTCCAAGAGGAGGCCGCAGATGTGGCAGCTGAAGGACGGGCACAGCCCTGATGCCACAGCCTCCTGTCCTTCACCTGTGGGAAGGCAAATGTCCTTCACCTGTGGGAAGGCAAATGTCCTTCACCTGTGGGACAGTGAATGTCCATCACCTGTGGGACAGTAAATGTCCTTCACCTGGGACAGTAAATGTCC